TCTGTTATTTTTCACGGAAATTTAACAAATGTCAGACGAACTATTCCACCATTGAACAAGAAGCTCTAGCTTTGTTGTTAGCTCTGCAGTACTTTGAAGTTTATGTTGGTTCCAGTGCATTACCAGTGATAGTGTATACTGACCATAACCCCTTAGTTTTTCTCCACCGGATGTACAACCAGAACCAACGCCTTATGCGTTGGGCACTTGTCGTGCAAAATTATAATTTGGAGATCCGCCACAAAAAGGGGTTGGATAATGTGTTGGCAGATGCTTTGTCTCGTGTGTAATGATCTAGGTTTTTTTTTTTATTCCGGCAGGATGATTATTGAATTTTGGGTGTTGTGATGGTACGTGTGTCGCAAACCATTGTGGTTTGCTCTTTTAAGGGTGGGAGTGTTACGGATACAGGTATCCTGTGTTTTTGTGTGTTTCTACTCCTTCTGCCCTAATCACAGGTGTCCTGTATGTTCCTGATTGGTGGTCGTTGAGGTGTCTGCTGATTGGACCAATCAGTGAACATTCCTGTGCATTGCACCACCTGTTACTCATTTTTTCAATCACACATCCCATTATATGAAAACCAGTCACTTGTGTTAGTTGTGAGAGAGAGAGAATATTTCCGTATGTGAGTATGGACACTGTGGTGTCCTGTTTTTGTTTACTCACTAAGTTGCTGGTTACTCTGGTTGGTAATTCTGTTAGACCACTGTTTTGTATGTGAGTAATGGATACTGTGATGTCCTGTGTTTAGAGTACTCATTAATTTGCTGGTTACTCTGTTTGGTAACTATTGTGTGTTTCTGGGAAAAGGGGAGTTTGAGCTAGCTGCCCTTGGGCATACATTTCCCGTAGAAAGAACTGTCTATAACCACTAGTTAGACCTGAGCGGACCACCCACTGTATTTTTGTATGGTAGCAGTAGCCTAGCGGTTCTTGAGGCAGGCAAGATCAGTTTAGGGGTGTTTTACACTATTGTTTCATTTCTTGGGTCCTGCTCAGCCCTTTTTCCCAAACCGTTACCGTGTGTTCAGAAATAAACCATTTGTGTTTGACGGTAGTTCATGGTTGTTGTGTCATATTTGTTCTCACTGTTCCATGCCACACTTATAATTTACATGAATTATGTTACGGGTCTCATGTCCATCACCCTAGACGTTCAAAGCCACGGGGTTCGTAACACAGATGTTGATTGCGCCACCTTGGCCAATTCCACATCGACGGGACGCATTGTCTCATGCGGGGGGCACGATAGGGCAGTTGCCCATAATCGGCCAACCACTGAAGGCCTGGCTGCTGAGAGGGACAGGCTAGCGCGCCGTGGGTTATCTGATGCAGTGATCAGGACCATACAGGGTTCACGTGCCAGTTCCACTTCTAAGATGTATGCCAGTAGATGGAACGTGTTTTCACAATGGTGTGTTACACAAGGTGTAGACCCCATGAGCTGTCAGGTTGAGAGTATTCTCTCTTTCCTACAGCTTCTGTTTGATAAGCAGCGATCGCCCGCCACCATTAAGGTGTTTGCAGCGGCGATTTCAGCTTGTCACGAGGGGTTTGGCAGAGACAATGTCTTTAGCCACCCTCTAGTGAAACGTTTCTTATTAGGAACGCTGCGGCTTAGGCCAACACCTAGAGCCACGCTTCCTCAGTGGGATTTGGCTTTGGTACTCGAAGCGCTATGTAAGTCGCTGTTCGAGCCATTGAATCAAATACCCCTCAAGATGCTGTCTGTGAAGACAGCACTGTTGCTCACTTTGACTACGGCTAAGCGTGTTAGTGATTTGTGTGCTCTTTCGATGAGACCCGACTGCCTGGCCATTAATGGCGATCTGAGCAGAGCGGTGTTACGTCCTAACCCAGCATTTGTGCCGAAGGTTATTAGGAGTTCATATAGGTCACAGACCGTGGAGCTGTGGGCTTTTTCTCCTCCTCCTCATAGAGAGAGGAGTGAGGAAAGGCTCCATCGCCTGTGCCCAGTACGCGCCTTGGCGTGTTACGTCGAGCGCACAGCAGCGATTAGGTCATCGCCTCAGCTGTTTGTGTGTCATGGTGCTGCTGCACTAGGTAGACCACTTTCGAAACAGCGTCTGTCTCATTGGCTTTGTGAGGGCATTGAGACAGCTTATGAGGCAGCGGGCGACAACTGCCTCAGGGTATCAGAGCTCACTCCACTCGTGGAGTAGCAGCTTCTACTGCCCTTTCAGAGGAACAGGGGTAGAGGATATATGTAGAGCGGCGTCATGGTCAACACCGTCTCCATTTATCCGTTTCTATCTCTTGGATATGTCTTCTAACTCTTTGGCTCAGTCTGTACTCAGCGTGGCTGAAGGGAGACTTTGAGCTAGGAGGAGAGGAATGCAGGACTGTGGAGACAAGGTCTCTATCAGGTCCGCTTCTGATAGAAGGACATATTTTTGGAATGACTCCTGACTGACAGGTTCAGTACAGTAGAGGGCATGTATTCATCTGCCCACCAGTGAGTCACTGGAGTGAGGCGGAATGATGGGGGATAATAGTAGTAACTTGGTTACGATGCTATTAGACCAGTCATGACAATTTGACGGAATGTGACGTCATCTATCTGTTTGTTCAGATTAGTATGCATCATGTTCTGGGATCTGCCCACTAATCTCTGGGGTTCCATTGATTGAGTGAGGCGGCCTACCGTGTACACAATGTAGAGTGACACTTTGTGTCATTCCATTAGTGGTCGGTAGTATTGTAACAGGATATTGAGGTACCATCTATCTGCTAGTACAGATTAGTATGGCCTGTATTCTGGTGATCCGCCCACTAGTCATTGGTGTTGCCATTGGACTAGGTGGGGCAGGTTTTTAACCGATGACGCAGTATATTGTGACAGTGGTTACAGTACTGCGGAAATTGGTTGCAGCCATTGCTAGGCCTGACCTTTTCATTTTGATGGGAAGTGTTGGGTTCGGCAGGGAGTACATTTTGGAGCGCTACGCTCCGCCTTAAACCAATAGGAGCAGAGCTCCCCTATGGGGCGGAGCTCCACGATATAGAACGATTAGTTACCGGAGTGTAACTCCAGTTCTATGAGTGGAGCGGAGCCCCATAGGACTTAAGGCCCTGCCGACCCTCTCTAGTCTCGCTGAAGATGAATATCTCGGGAGGCTGATTGAGGGGAGGCATCCCCTCTTATAGGGACACCTGTACTCCTATTGGCTGTAGGTGTGTGCATCATTTTGTCTCAGGCTGATGCTGCCTTAGGGCAGTGGGTAAACCAATAGGAGCAGAGCTCCCCTATGGGGCTCCGCTCCACTCATAGAACTGGAGTTACACTCCGGTAACTAATCGTTCCTGCTTGTTCTTGGGGCATTTTGCCTTCAGTTTTGCCTTCAGCAAGTGAAATGCATGCTCAATTGGATTCAGGTCAGGTGATTGACTTGGCCATTGCAGAACATTCCACTTTTTTGCCTTAAAAGAGTATTGGGTTGCTTTCGCAGTATGCTTCGGGTCATTGTCCATCTGCACTGTGAAGCGCCGTCCAATGAGTTTTGAAGCATTTGGCTGAATCTGAGCAGATAATATAGCCCTAAACACTTCAGAATTCATCCTGCTGCTTTTGTCAGCAGTCATATCATAATAAATACAAGGGAACCAGTTCCATTGGCAGCCATACATGCCCACGCCATAACACTACCTCCACCATGCTTCACAGATGAGGTGGTATGCTTAGAATCAAGAGTAGTTCCTTCCCTTCTCCATGCTCTTCTCTTCCCATCATTCTGGTACAAGTTGATCTTTGTCTCATCTGTCCATAGGATGTTGTTCCAGAACTGTACAGGCTTTTTTAGATGTTTTTTTGGCAAACTCTAATCTGGTCTTCCTATTTCTGAGGCTTACCAATGGTTTACATCTTGTGGTAAACCCTCTGTATTTACTCTGGTGAAGTCTTCTCTTGATTGTTGACTTTGACACAGATACACCTACCTCCTGGAGGGTGTTCTTGATCTGGCCAACTGTTGTGAAGGGGTTTTTCTTCACCAGGGAAATAATTATTCTGTTTCCGTGGTCTTCCGTGCCTTTTGGTGTTCCTGAGCTCACCAGTGCATTCTTTCTTTTTAAGAATGTACCAAATAGTTGATTTGGCCACACCTAATGTTTTTGCTATCTCTCTGATGGGTTTGTTTAGATTTTTTCAGCCTAATGATGGCTTGCTTCACTGGTATTGACAGCTCTTTGGACTTCATATTGAGGGTTAACAGCAACAGATTCCAAATTCAAATGCCACACTTGAAATCAACTCTAGACCTTTTATCTGCTTACTTGTAAATTAACTAATGAGGGAATAACACACACCTGGCCATGGAACAGCTGAGCAGCCAATTGTGCAATTTACTTTTGGTCCCTTAAAAAGGGGGGGGGGGGGGGCACAAATAAAAAGTGCTGTAATTCCTATACCGTTCACCCGATTTGGATGTAAATACCCTCAAATTAAAGCTGAAAGTCTGCCCTTTCAGCTCATATTCATTATTTAATTTAAACTCCAATATGTTGTGGTAGACAGCTAAAATAATAATAACTTGGTCAATGTCCAAATATTTCAAGTCAAGGGGTCTAAATACTTTCCGAATGCACTGTATATGCCATTTAGCAGATGCTTTTATCCATAGCGACTTAGTCATGAGTGCATACGTTTTAAGTATGGGTGGTCCTGGAAATCGAACCCACTATCCTGGCATTGTAAGCACCATGCTCTACCAACTGAGCTACGGAAAACCACTACCCTGACAGGAGGCGGGGTTGTTTTGAGAGGAGTTAGAATAGAACATTAAGCCAGGAACAGTGAGGCATATAGAATGATAATACAACTAGACAGCCGTGTATTGAGTCAAGAACTTTACCCTCAATGAGCAGTCCTGATGTTAGTCTGATGTTAGAAGCCATGTCTCCCGAGTTTCTCTCTCCTCTTCCTCTCTCATCCTGTCCATCTCGGTCTGACCATCTGTCTTGTCTTTCCCTCCCCAGGCTCCCCTACATGTCGCTGTCTGACAGGGTTCACTGGTCCCAACTGTAACCTACACACCTGTAAGAACTACTGTCAAAACGGAGGGAACTGCACGGTCAGCACTGGCAACCAGCCCACCTGCCGCTGCCCTGCTGACTTCCTGGGAGACCAGTGCCAGTATCGTGAGTCTGTCTCGCTGTCTGTCTCGCTGTCTGTCTCGCTGTCTGTCTCGCTGTCTGTCTCGCTGTCTGTCTCGCTGTCTTAGCTTCTTTTTTATTGAATATTGTCTTGTGCTGTTCTTGTCTAACTGTTAGCATTTGTATGTTTTTGTAGAAAATATTATACAGTTAAAAAGTTACACCCGATGACATCAAATGTTACATTTTAAAAACAGTTATTTTCAAACACTATGAGATTCGCGGTGATGTGGGGAGCAATAAAATACCTTCCCTCTGGCTAGAAACTCATTGCAGGTTTTGAAAATCAACATTTTTCTTTGTTTTAAAGGACCCCTCAGAGGAAGTTGCCGTCACCATTTAATTCCTGTCCTAGTGCGGAAATGCTGGTTTGGTTCCACCCTCCGAACAGCGACGTATGGCTCCTTAAATATTGATTAATCGGGCATGCACATCTCCACCTTCCTCCGTGTGCACGGCCCATACGGTCATACTCTGCGAATTGTATACACACTAAAAAGTCAGGGTAGCTTTTTTAATCGCTAACTTACGGAGCACAGCACAGCTAGCTAGGAGAAGGCGGAAGACCATCCACTCAATTCAATTCAAAGGGCTTTATTGGCATGGGAAACATATGTTTACATTGTCAAAGCAAGTGAAATAGACAATAAACAAAAGGGAAATAAACAACCAGAAATTAACAGGCGATGCAGTAATAAATAAATAAAAATCCCCACGCTACAGACCTCTGTCTATATTGGTCCACTAATACAGAACTAGTAAAGGACCAGTGCACTACTTTTGTGAAAATGGTTTAACTAAATATATTTATATTTGAGTGTTTACCAGCATTTGTAACTTGAGTCTGATAATTATCTGTACAAAACAGTTAATCTGATAATACTTGTGGAATATAAAAATACTTGCTTGATATGTTTTCCAGTTTCTTGAAATACTACTTATTTCTATGTGGAAACTGAAATGGTCTATTCATTCCTTTTACATTTTAGTGGACGTTCTTATCCAGAGCAACTTACATTAGTGAGGGCATACATTTTCATACTTTTTTATACTGGTCCCCCATGGGAATTGAACCCACAACCCTAGCATTGCAAGCGCCATGCTCTACCAACTGAGCCACATCATCACAAACCACTTGATGTCTCAATGTACTCAATTACTGTATTGTGCATTGTTTTTCTTCATGGTGATGGAAAGTCTACAGGAACAAACCTGTAGGCAAAAAATTGTTGTTTTATATGTTATTTGATCAAGAAATATTTTATTTGATGTGGATGTTTTGGGTCTTTGCCCATAACGTTGCACCTTTTAATGTAAATGTTTCAGGACAGGGTTTTGTTCTTTGTAGATTCCATTAGAATGACGATCGTAGAGAAAGGGACAGGGCAACCACTCTTACAATTCCAAATATTGAATCCTGCAAGATACTCTTTTTTATTATACAACAACCTTTTTTGCCAAAGCGGAGATAAAAAAATATATATATGTTGCCCACGCTACAGACTTCTATATCGGTCCACTAATACAGGACTAGTAAAGGCCCAGTGCAATACCTTTTATTGTTTCAAAATAAATAATAACAAGTTGTGTTGTGACAAGGTAGGGGGGTATACAGAAGATAGCCCTATTTGGTAAAAGACCAAGTCCATATTATGGCAAGAACAGCTCAAATAAGCAAAGAGAAACGACAGACCATCATTACTTTAAGACATGAAGGTCAGTTAATCTGGAAAATTTCAAGAACTTTGAAAGTTTCTTCAAGTGCAGTCGCAAAAACCATCAAGCGCTATGATGAAACTGGCTCTCATGAGGACCGCCACAGGAAAGGAAGACCCAGAGTTACCTCTGCTGCAGAGGATAAGTTCATTAGAGTTAGCAGCCTCAGAAATTGCAGCCCAAATAAATGCTTCACAGAGTTCAAGTAACAGACACATCTCAACATCAACTGTTCAGGGGAGACTGCGTGAATCAAGCCTTCATGGTCGAATTTCTGCAAAGAAACCACTACTAAAGGGCACCAATAAGAAGAAGAAGAGACTTGCTTGGGCCAAGAAACACGAACAATGGATATTATACCGGTGAAAATCTGTCCTTTGGTCTAAGTCCAAATTTGAGATTTTTGGTTCCAACCGCTGTGTCTGTGAGACGCAGAGTAGGTGAACAGATGATCTCCGCATGTGTGGTTCCCACCGTGAAGCATGGAGGAGGAGGTGTGATGGTGTGGGGGTGATTTGCTGGTGACACTGTCTGTGATTTATTTAGAATTTAAGGCACACTTAACCAGCATGGCTACCACAGCATTCTGCAGCGATACACCATCCCATCTGGTTTGCGTTTAGTGGGACTATAATTTGTTTTTCAACAGGACAATGACCCAAAACACACCTCCAGGCTGTGTAAGGGCTATTTTACCAAGAAGGAGAGTGATGGAGTGCTGCATCAGATGACCTGGCTCCCACAATCCCCCGACCTCAACCCAATTGAGATGGTTTGGGTTGAGTTGGACTGCAGAATGAAGGAAAAGCAGCCAACAAGTGCTCAGCATAAGTGGGAACTCCTTCAAGACTATTGGAAAAGCATTCCAGGTGAAGCTGGTTGAGAGAATGCCAAGAGTGTGCAAAGCTGTCATCAAGGCAAAGGGTGGCTACTTTGAAGAATTCTCAAATATAAAATATATTTTGATTTGTTTAAGACTTTATTGGTTACTACATAATTCCATATGTGTTATTTCATAGTTTTGATGTCTTAACTATTATTCTACAATGTAGAAAATAGTCAAAATAAAGAAAAACCCTTGAATGAGTAGGTGTGTCCAAACCTTTGACTGGTACTGTGTGTGTGTGTGTGTGTGTGTGTGTGTGTGTGTACTGTGCATTCGGAAAGGATTCAGACCCCTTGATTTTTTTCCTACATATTGTTACGTTACTGCCTCATTCTAAAAATGATTAAATTATTGTTTTCCGTCATCAATCTACACACAATACCCCATAATGACCCAAAGCAAAAAATGGTTTTAGAAATGTTTGCTAATTTATTAAAAATTATAACATTAAATATCACATTTACGTAAGTATTCAGACCCTTTACTCAGTACTTTGTTAAAGCATATTTGGTAGCGATTACAGCCTCAAGTCTTCTTGTGTATGACGCTACAAGCTTGGCATACCTGTATTAGGGGAGTTTCTCCCATTCTTCTCTGCTGATCCTCTCAAGCTCTGTCAGGTTGGATGAGGAGCGTCGCTGCACAGCTATTTTCAGGTCTCTCCAGAAATGTTTGATTGGGTTCAAGTCCGGGCCCTGGCTGGGCCACTCTAGGACATTCAGAGACTTGTCCCAAAGCCACTCCTGCGTTGTCTTGGCTGTGTGCTTAGGGTCGTTGTCCTGTTGGAAGGTGAACCTTCAACCCAGTCTGAGGTCCTGAGCACTCTGGAGCAGGTTTTCATCAAAGATCTCTCTGTACTTTGCTCCATTCATCTTTCCCTCGATCCTGACTAGCCTCCCAGTCCTTGCCGCTGAAAAACGTCCCCACAGCATGATGCTACCCCCACCATGCTTCACCGTAGGGATGGTGCCAGGTTTCCTCCAGACGTGACGCTTGGCATTCAGGCCAAAGAATTCAATCTTGGTTTCATCAGACCAGAGAATATTGTTTCTCATGGTCTGAGAGTCCTTTAGGTGCCTTTTGGCAAACTCCAAGCGGGCTGTCATGTGCCTTTTACTGAGGAGTGGCTTCCGTCTGGCCACTCTACCATAAAGGCCTGATTTGGTGGAGTGCTGCAGAGATGATTGTCCTTCTGGAAGTTTCTCCCATCTTCACAGAGGAACTCTGGAGCTCTGTCAGAGTGACCATCAGGTTCTTGGTCACCTCCCTGAACAAGGCCCTTCTCCCCCGATTGCTTAGTTTGGCCGGGCGGCCAGCTCTAGGAAGAGTCTTGGTGGTTCCAAACTTCTTACATTTAAGAATGATGGATGCCACTGTGTTCTTGGGGACTTTCAATGCTGCATAATTTTTTTTACCCTTCACCAGATCTGTGCCTCGACACAATTCTGTCTCGGAGCTCTACGGAGAATTCCTTCGACCTCATGGCTTGGTTTTTGCTCAGACATGCACTGTCAACTGTGGGACCTTATATAGACAGGTGTGTGCCTTTCCAAATCCTGTCCAATCAATTGAATTTACCACAGGTGGACTCCAATCAAGTTTTAGAAACATCTCAAGGATGATCAATGGAAACAGGATGCACCTGAGCTCAATTTCGAGTCTCATAGCAAAGAGTCTGAATACTTATGTAAATAAGGTATTTCTGTTTTTTATTTTTAATACATTTGCAAACATTCCTAAAAACCTGTTTTCGCTTTGTCATTATGGGATATTATGTGTAGATTGATGAGGGAAACATTTAATTTAATCCATTTTAGAATAAGGCTGTAACGTAACAAAATGTGGAAGTCAAGGGGTCTGAATACTTTCCGAATGCACTGTATATACACCCAATCTCTCATCATTGAGAGCAAGCTCGCTAGCTAATTAAAACATCATTATGTTTTGTCCTTACAACTACCTGAACTGTAGTTTGCACGTTTTGATGACTTTGCAGCATTTTGTATCACATAGGCCAGCAAGCACACACTCGCTTTGACAGCTAGGTTTATTACTGTAGAGACAGCTTCGCATTTGGTAACATAAAAGTGGTGCATTAGCGTTAGCTAGTACTGGTAAAGCAGTGATTTACTCCAGAGTTATATGAATTTAGCTACTTCATATGGATTTACAGTGCCTTCAGAAAGTTGTTACAGCCTGAATTTAAAATGAGATTTTGTGTCACTGGCCTACATAAAATGTACAATACCCCATAATGTCAAAGTGTAATTATGTTGTTTTTTACAAATTAATTAAAATTGAAAAGCTGAGTATTCAGTAATTATTCAACCCCTTTGTTTTGGCTTAGCAAGTCACCTAAGAAGTTGCATGGACATACTCTGTGTTCAATAATAGTGTTTGACATGATGTTTGAATGACTACCTCATCTCTTTACCCCACACATACAATTATCTGTAAGGTCCCTCAGTCGAGCAGTGAATTTCAAACCGAATCAACCACCAAGACCAGGGAGGTTTTCCAATGCCTCGCAAAGGGACATTGCAGACAGGCAGACATTGAATATCACTTTCAGCATGGTGGTTATTTAATACACTTTGGATGGTGTATCAATACAAAGATACAGTCGTCCTTCCTAACTCCGTTGTCAGAGAGGAAGGAAACCGCTCAGGGTTTTCACCATGAGGCCAATGGTGACTTTAAAACAGTTAGAGTTTAACGGCTGTGACAGGAGAAAACTGAGGATGGCTCAACAACATTGTAGTTACTCCACAATACTAACCTAATTGACAGAGTGAAAAGAAAGAAGCCTGTACAGAATAGCAAATATTCCAAAACATGCATCCTAATTGCAACAAGGCACTAAAGTAATACTGCAAAAATGTGGCAAAGCAATTAACATTTTGTCCTGAATACAACGTTTTACAGTATGTTTGGGGCAAGTCCAATACAACACATTACTGAGTATCACTCTCCATATTTTCAGGCATAGTGGTGGCTGCATCATGTTATGGGTATGTGTGTAATCGTTAAGAACTGGGGAGTGTTTCAGGCTAAAAAAGTAACCGAATGGGAGATGAATTCACCTTTCAGAAGGACAATAACCTAAAACACAAGGCCAAATATACACTGGAGTTGCTTAACAAGTCGACATTGAATGTTCCTGAGTGGCCTAATTACAGTTTTGACTTAAATCGCCTTGAAAATCTATGGCATGACTTGAAAATGGCTGTCTAGCAATGATCAACAACCAACTTGACAGACCTTGAATAATCTTTTTAGGAGTAATGTGAAAATATTGTTCAATCCAGGTGTGCAAAGCTCTTAGAGACTTACCCAGAAAGACTCACAGCTGTAATCGTTGCCAAAGGTGATTCTAACATGTATTGACTCAGGGGTGTGAATACTTATGTAAATGAGATATTTCTCTATTTACATTTACATTTACGTCATTTAGCAGACGCTCTTATCCAGAGCGACTTACAAATTGGTACATTCACCTTATAGCCAGTGGGAGAACCACTTTACAATGTTTTTTTTTTTTTTTTGGGTGGGGTGGGGGGGGGGTAGAAGGATTACTTTATCCTATCCCAGGTATTCCTTAAAGAGGTGGGGTTTCAAGTGTCTCCGGAAGGTGGTGAGTGACTCCGCTGTCCTGGTGTCGTGAGGGAGCTTGTTCCACCATTGGGGTGCCAGAGCAGCGAACAGTTTTGACTGGGCTGAGCGGGAACTGTGCTTCCACAGAGGAAGGGGGGCCAGCAGGCCAGAGGTGGATGAACGCAATGCCCTCGTTTGGGTGTAGGGACTGATCAGAGCCTGAAGGTACGGAAGTGCCGTTCCCCTCACAGCTCCGTAGGCAAGCACCATGGTCTTGTAGCAGATGCGAGCTTCAACTGGAAGCCAGTGGAGTGTGCGGAGGAGCGGGGTGACGTGAGAGAACTTGGGAAGGTTGAACACCAGACGGGCTGCGGCATTCTGGATGAGTTGTAGGGGTTTAATGGCACAGGCAGGGAGCCCAGCCAACAGCGAGTTGCAGTAATCCAGTCGGGAGATGACAAGTGCCTGGATTAGGACCTGTGCCGCTTCCTGTGTAAGGCAGGGTCGTACTCTCCAAATGTTGTAGAGCATGAACCTACAGGATCGGGTCACCGCCTTGATGTTAGCGGAGAACGACAGGGTGTTGTCCAGGGTCACGCCAAGGCTCTTCGCACTCTGGGAGGAGGACACAACGGAGTTGTCAACCGTGATGGCGAGATCATGGAACGGGCAGTCCTTCCCCGGGAGGAAGAGCAGTTCCGTCTTGCCAAGGTTCAGCTTGAGGTGGTGATCCGTCATCCACACTGATATGTCTGCCAGACATGCAGAGATGCGATTCGCCACCTGGATATCAGAAGGGGGAAAGGAGAAGATTAGTTGTGTGTCGTCTGCGTAGCAATGATGGGAGAGGCCATGTGAGGATATGACAGAGCCAAGTGACTTGGTGTATAGGGAGTATAGGAGAGAGCCTAGAACTGAGCCCTGGGGGACACCAGTGGTGAGAGCACGTGGTGCGGAGACAGCTTCTCGCCACGCCACTTGGTAGGAGCGACCGGTCAGGTAGGACGCAATCCAAGAGTGAGCCGCACCGGAGATGCCCAGCTCGGAGAGGGTGGAGAGGAGGATCTGATGGTTCACAGTATCAAAGGTCTAGAAGGACAAGAGCAGAGGAGAGAGAGTTAGCTTTAGCAGTGCGGAGAGCCTCCGTGACAGAGAAGTGCAGTCTCAGTTGAATGACCAGTCTTGAAACCTGACTGGTTTGGATCAAGAAGGTCATTCTGAGAGAGATAGCAAGAGAGTTGGCTAGAGACGGCACGCTCAATAGTTTTGGAGAGAAAAGAAAGAAGGGATACTGGTCTGTAGTTGTTGACATCAGAGGGATCGAGTGTTGGTTTTTTGAGAAGGGGTGCAACTCTCGCTCTCTTGAAGATGGAAGGGACATAGCCAGCGGTCAAGGATGAGTTGATGAGCGAGGTGAGGTAAGGGAGAAGGTCACCGGAGATGGTTTGGAGAAGAGAGGAGGGAGGGGAGAAAGAGGAGGAGAGGGGAGAAAGAAGTCAAAGCATAGGGTAGGGCAGTGTGAGCAGGACCAGCAGTGTCATTTGACTTAGCAAACGAGGATTGGATGTCGTCAACATTCTTTTCAAAATGGTTGACGAAGTCATCCACAGAGAGGGAGGAGGGGGGAGGGGGAGGAGGATTCAGCAGGGAGGAGAAGGTGGCAAAGAGCTTCCTAGGGTTAGAGGCAGATGCTTGGAATTTAGAGTGGTAGAAAGTGGCTTTAGCAGCAGAAACAGATGAAGAAAATGTAGAGAGGAGGGAGTGAAAAGATGCCAGGTCCGCAGGGAGTCAAATTTTCCTCCATTTCCGCTCGGCTGCCCGGAGCCCTGTTCTGTGAGCTCGCAATGAGTCATCAAGCCACGGAGCTGGAGGGGAGGACCGAGCCGGCCGGGAGGATAGGGGACATAGTGAGTCAAAGGATGCAGAAAGGGAGGAGAGGAGGGTTGAGGAGGCAGAATCAGGAGATTGTAGGGAGAAGGATTGAGCAGAGGGAAGAGATGATAGGATGGAAGAGGAGAGAGTAGCGGGGGAGAGAGAGAGCGAAGGTTGCGACGGCGCATTACCATCTGAGTAGGGGCAGAGTGAGTAGTGTTGGAGGAGAGTGAGAGAGAAAAGGATACAAAGTAGTGGTCGGAGACATGGAGGGGAATTGCAGTGAGATTAGTAGAAGAACAGCATCTAGTAAAGATGAGGTCAAGCGTATTGCCTGCCTTGTGAGTAGGGGGGGATGGTGAGAGGGTGAGGTCAAAAGAGGAGAGGAGTGGAAAGAAGGAGGCAGAGAGAAATGAGTCAAAGGTAGACGTAGGGAGGTTGAAGTCCCCCAGAACTGTGAGGTGTGAGCCATCCTTAGGAAAGAAACTTATCAAGGCGTCAAGCTCATTGATGAACTCTCCAAGGGAACCTGGAGGGTGATAAATGACAAGGATGTTAAGCTTAAATGGGCTAGTGACTGTGACAGCATGGAATTCAAATGATAGATAGACAGATGGGTCAGGGGGAAAAATAGAGAATGTCCACTTGGGAGAGATGAGGATTCCTGTGCCACCACGCCGCTGACCAGATGCTCTCGGGTATGTGAGAACACATGGTCAGACGAGGAGAGAGCAGTAGGAGTAGCAGTTAATACATTTGCTAAAATTTCTAAAAACATGTTTTCACTTTGTCATTATGGGGTATTGTGTGTAGATGGGCAAAATAAATCAATTTTGAATTCAGGCTGTAACACAACAAAATGTGGAATAAGTCAAGGGGTATGAATACTTTCTGAATGAACTGTACTTCACTGCACAGTCATCTATACTATAGCTAGCTAGCCAGCCAAACTTGTATATAGTTAGTGAACAATAGGCCTACTCTTGCTGCTACTGTAGCGCTGCCGTGCATAATGTCTCCAGAAACGATGATGTATCGCAGCCATGTTGACGTTTCACCTCTCCACGTCTTCATCCACTTTTGATGTCACTAGCTAGCTATCCAGCTAATGTTAGCCAGGTGATGCGCCTATGATAAGTCGTTCGGCTAACGTGTCCCTTGCCGGGCTGCTTACTATAGCCAAGTGAACAACATTAGCTCATCATAATAATATTTGCTATTTTCTTACTCACCATTTCACCGTCAGCTCATTAAACAGCTCCATATCGAACTAAGTGCATTACAGACAGCAGTAAGCAGTAGTACCAGGTTGTAAACAGGAAAATCTGAAGTTTAACTTTTTGATTTTCCTGTTCAAGCCCAAATATATTACACTTAAACTAAAATGATGACTTATTGACTTAAATCGTTGTGCAATATCAGGGATGAGCTATGGGCATCATCTTTCAGCTAAAAAAGTGGATGATTTTCGCTGGTGTGGGTGTTTAATCCTACTTTGTTATTAGGGGTATGTTGACACTGGTGTGGTGCTGTAGGTAAGGAATATGAGGTTGAAAAGTGGCCTAATTGCCCTTTAAGATGAATGCACTAACTGTAAGTTGCTCTGGATAAGAGCATCTGCTAAATGACTAAAATGTAAATGTATTTGATGTTTTGTTTGGACCCCACAAAGAGTAACTGCTGCATGTGCAACAGCTAATGGGGATCCTAATAAATCAATAATTAAATAAACTGTCTCTCTACTGCCACCTGCTGGCAGTATAACACTAGAACACTACTGAGTTACAGTAGTGGAGGACTACAAAATGTGAACTGCTTGGCACTCTTTTGATATCCACCTCAAGGCTCCTTGCTCTCAGTATACTCAGACGGATAGTTGTCTCTTATGTGTGTGTGTGAGTAGGTAGCTGCGAGGGCCACTGTCTGAACGGAGGCACTTGTCTGCAGAGTGCCAGCGAGGCACGCCAGTGTCGCTGTCTGCCCCAGTTCAGCGGCAGCACCTGCGAGGTGGACAAGTGTCACTACTGCCGCGACGGCAAGTGTATCCCCACCAGCTCCTTCCAGCCCACAGGAGAGGTCACCTGCATGTAAGTGTCAACACACACACACACACACACACACACACACACACACACACACGTCCTAACCTATTGTTACCTGTGTGTGTCCTGTAGCTGCACCAATAGCAGAGTTCAGCCCAGCTGCTACACATGTGATGAGTACTGTGCTAATGGACAGTGCTCTGTCAACCCACGCACACACCTACCAGAGTGCAAGTGAGTTCTCTCTCTCTCTCTTCTCCTCTCCTTTCCTCTCCTCTCGCTCTCTCTAGCATGGTAACTCTGGTTACTGTGAGGTTACATCTCTCTGTATCTATCGCTGTCTCTCCCCTCAGGTGTTCTGCAGGCTGGGTGGGGCATCGCTGTGAGGTGGTGGCCTCTAGTGTAGACTCCTCAGAGTCTGGTGGACGTAAGTAAACTATCCTCAAGGTTTGCAAAAAGTAGAGGCGTAACTTTTGCTTGTGATTTTACTGTAACTTAGATGTCAGCTGGCCATCAAAAGAAAATGCAAGAGCTGCTCCTCTACATTTTACATGTATTATTGTGGCTGCACATCGACTGGACGCTAACTGAAGTCTCCTGCCTAACTGTGTATGTATACTGTTTCTGTGTGTCCATGTACAGGTACTGCCACCATAGTGATCCCAGTGTTGCTGCTGCTGTTGTTGGTTCTGTTGGTGGGAGGAGCTGTGTTCTGGTACAGGAGAAGAATGAGGGGGTGAGGAACGCTACACTACACTACAAAATACACAATACAACACCGGGGCACTAGCAGAACACTGGGACAATATCTACCTTAACCCCCTATCAAGCTCTCTTTTCTTTAATGCTTCTTCTTACTCTCTCTGCACTCTCTCTCCTCCCTCTCTCTGTACTCTCTCTCCTCCCTCTCCCTCTCTCTCTCTCTCTCTCTCCTCCCTCTCTCTCACCTCCCCTCTCTCTCTCCTCCCTCCCTCTCTCCCTAAGGTGACCACATGTCCCGGATAGTGTGGGACAGTCCCGCATTTGTTCCCTTTGTCCCCCGTCCCACAACCAAACAATCATGTCCCATATTTTTTAATAATTTAAAACACCACAAATTTACAAAAAAAGGTTGATTTTATAGTAAGTCAGACTTACTATTCATTTGATGATAATTGACATTCCAATCTGTCTCTTTTGCAGTAACATTGCGCTTATAACAAGATGTATATCATAAGTATGTGGTACTGGTGATGTTAAACACTTCTCCAATCGTTGATGAGATCTGATATTCTGGCTGCATAAGACAAGACATAGGCCAATGTCATATAGTCAACCAATTTGCCAAATCCTTTCTGGCTAAACTTGCAGAGGACAGCGAGTTACTTACAAAAATTGTGCTTCTAACCAAGGGCTACAAAAGTAAGGAAATAGCCAGCCGTATTAGACTGAAAGAGAAGGTCAAACTTGTAAGGCTCATTAGTTGCTCATTTAACATATTTGCTGCTACTTCACTGAATCTGTTTTTAAAAGTATCCCTCCCTAAATGTTTTACATTCCCTGAGACCAATCACAAATGTTTACTTGGCCAAATATTCCCTGATTTTCATAAAACAGCCACACGTGTGGTCTCTCGTTTCTGCATCACCAAATTTTGCACTCGCTCGGCAAAAGAGTAGGCTTTGTGCGCTTCAATTAGCTCGCTCGGTGCGCTGCCAAGAACATGTATTCATGTAGGCTACACTGTCCCGCAAAATCATCCCATTGTCCCGCATTTGAGTATTTTAAATGTGGTCACCCTATCCCCCCCCCCCCCCCCCCCCCTCTCTCTCTTTCCCTCTCTTTCTCTCTGCTGTGAGTAACTGCATCTCTTCTGTCCATCAGGTCTGGCAGGCTGGGCAAATCCTGCTCCAGACACTCACGGTAACGGTTGCCTCGTTACGCTTTCCGTCCTCTCTCAGCTTGCCCCTCCCTCTCCTGATCTAAATCCCTGTTCAGGACTGGTCCACCCTCTCCAAACCCCCTACTATACTTCTAGGGGGGTAACAGGTGGTGATCTATTGAAGAGGTGAAATAGATCAGTCTATGACCCCATGGTGTCTAAATGGATCCCATGCTGTTCTCTATCATGCTGTACTGTATTGTACTGTATTGTGTTGTGTAGAATCCTACTGTATTTATCATACTGAGAGAGAGAGGACGCTTTGACTGCATTGTTCCAAGCCAGGATTTGGAAAATGCAACATGACAAATCCAGCATTTACTATGGTAGATGGTTGATTTGTTACATTTCTCTCCATTCCTCAAGTCCATGGTTTGACCCGATATGGTGATGCTCCAAACTGACAACATGCATTTCTGTCCAAGATGTCTATAGATTTTGAAGACATCGATAGATTTGACCTTGCTTGTGTTTTTCAAGCAGACTCTTAAATAGGTATTCAGTAGTACCACTTACACAGGGTGTATGTGTAATGTTAGCTTACTTGGTACTGTTACACAACCCTCTCCAGGACCAGTGTGTCCTGTAGTATATACTAGCTAGGTGAATGCTGGGTTTGCATTGTTGCCTGTGCTGTGGCTTTGAGTCCAGGCTTCCTGGGTTACCGTGACAGTGATGTGACCCCTGACCCCCGTGATGTGGCCATGTCGCTGCCTGCGCTGTGTGGACGCTCTCAGGACCCGTCCGTGCCTAAGGGGTCATGACCTTTCACCTCTGTATCCGCAGGGCCAAGGGCTTTCAGCACCAGAGGATGACTAACGGGGCCATGAACGTGGAGATAGGAAACCCAGCGTACAAGATCTACGAGGGTGAGCCAGACGACGATGCCGGGGATCTTCTAGACTCGGACTTCACACTGGACCCAGACAAGGTAACACACACGTTAATACAAGCAAGCACACAAACACACTTGCACCATGTCGCACACACCTGCACAAGCAAACACACACATCCTGGACATACAAACACACATCTACTACCATGTATTTAGTTTATCTAATGGTCCTCCCTGGTCTCTTCCCAGCCCACCAACTTCACAAACCCAGTGTATGCCACCCTGTACATGGGAGCCCAAAACAGCCGCAACTCCCTGGCCAGCACAGACGAGAAGAAGGAGCTTCTGTCTCGGGGGGATGAGGAGCCCCTGGTGGACCCGCTAGCATAAACTGTCCATTAGCCTGGGGTGTAACATTCCAAACACACCCCTCTTTTTGCCTTTGAAAGAAAATACTGAAAGAAAATCAACAAGAAAAGCGTGAACACTGTATAAAATGTACAAAAATGGACTACTTTTGTATGTGATTGCAGTATTATGTTTGGTTCTTGTACGATTCCTCTGGTCAAACATTAACAAAAACATTTTCTATAATATATTTTTAATTTAGTATTTTTGTCCCTTCCCCTTTACCTAAATAGTCACTACCTCTGTGCAAAATTAAATGGAAAAATAAAATTAGAAGAAAAAGGAGCAATTATTAAATGTTTTGTATGAGTTGTATAGAGAAAACATTGTTCCATTTCATTTTGTTCATGTTGACTTTGAGCGGGGGAAGGCTAACTCAAAGTTTTATAAGTCGGTACCAATGTTGTCTTGACAATTTTGTCAGCAGGAGTGTGTAAGACACAAATAATACAGTACAATTTGTGTACAGCGCGTTTAAAATGTCAATAACGAATGGCAACTTATTTCCATATTATTTTCTCAGAGAACTATGTTCATGAAATGATTGTGTTTTCTTCCTTGCACAGACTTAATGTTTTACGGTGTATATACCGTAAGATGTAACGCAGGTCAATATATGTTTGTTTCTATCATATACTAAAGGGTGTGTAGGGCTCGTGTGATGTTAAAATAGCGTAATCAATGTGTTGTTGAAGCGACTGAGGATGTGTGACTGACTGATTACTGGTGCGAGGTGATGATTATGATGATGTTGAATATTCCAGGCTTGGGAATGCTTCCATGTAGTGGGGCTGTGGGTGTGCCCAGTGTCCATGTCATGGCAGGTCAGAGCATACTAACGAAGGGACGGACCAGAGGGACTGTGTGACACCTTCGCTGAGAAGAACGTCACCAATCTGCACCCCTTTAGTGGACTGTGGTGCCAGAGAACAAGTGTATTTGCTACAGCTGTGTGGATGGACAGAGAAAGGAGATGGGATAACATTTGGTCTAATGTATGTTTGTTTGTTTTTCGCAGCATTTCTTCATTTGGTTTGTGTAAGGGCTTGACTGTCCACCTGGCCCTGTCAGACTCAGTACAGATGAATCTTTCTAACCTGAGAAAATTAGTTCTGTGCTTTTAATGGTTTTGTAACAGCTCCCTCTGAAGTGCAGTCATTGCTTTCTTTCTTTTTGACTCTCACGTTTCCCTCCACTGTTGTTCCTTTAGCCGTTTGTGATCATCTCTCTGTCTTCTGTACCCTGCTGCTAACGCTGCCGTTTTGGTTGCTATGACGTGTCTTTAAGCTCGGCCGCTGTCCCAAAATGCTGCTTCTGTCAGAAGGTGATCAGCCATATTTTAATGCATGTGAGAATAGGCAACATTTTTACATTTTAGTCATTTAGCAGACGCTCTTATCCAGAGCGACTTACAGTTAGTGCAACAACAAACAAATGTTCAAGTAACTAGAATAACAAATCCTTATTTTGCTTATTTGTCAGCAAGTGTTATTTTTGATTTATGCGGTCAAATTTTTATTGTATTTTTTTATTGAAAGGAGAGACAAGTACAATCATTTTACTTAAAATAACATTTTTGCAAAATCGTACATGCATTTTTGGATTTAAGTTGTTTTTGATTAGGCCTTGTTTTATGAGAAATTACACATAGCTTTTATAGTACAAAATGCATGGAGGCTCAAACCTTATTCTGGAAAGAATGTTAATTTTTGGTGGAGTACTTTACAAACTAAATAACAGATATTGTTATAAATACAATTTAAAAAACCGTACAGAAAACAATCAGCTGGATTTGTCTTTTAGTGGATTTATATTATCATTTTTATTTTGAGTTCAATTGTTCCCTTGTTGGCATCACTTGGTATCGCAGTTTGGTCACTTTTGAACCTCACGGTCACTTCTATGGTTGTGTTTCCATATCTAGCTAGACTGGACTAGAGTTGGCATATTGTGGATACAACAATGAATACCAAGTTAACCACAAATATAAACAAACGTGAGATCACTGTCTTAAATTTACTTTTTATTCTCATTACCAATCATCAAACAAAATTCAATACAAACTTGAGTTAATCACACAAGAACATGTTCATTGGGCCTTAATAAGCGAGCACTGAACCAAACTTTTCAGTTCCAGCAAGTGGATCTGTTTATCTAATGAGAGATCACCAACTGGTAATTATAATATATTGCGGTTGATTTTAAATCTGAATGTTGCCATTCTGTTTAATCATCTTTGATTATTATGTCAGTGCTTTTAATGTTCCATATTTCTATTCATTCAATACATTTTGTCATAGCTCACACGTTATCCTGGATTCAAGCATCTAGAAAATAAAATAAAATAACTACCAGTATACCAATCAAAACGAAATCCCCCGAAACATTTACATTTGTTTAGACAAATGGCTTCAAAAACAAAGAATCTTGACCAAAAAGGTCCCCGACATCAAAAACCATTTTCCAAAAGACTCTTGTACTGTAGTATTGTCACAACCCAGAGTGAGAACAGTGATATGGCAAACATGAATCATCGCTTTCCCCTCTCTGTTTTTCAGCCCTCGTCTTCTTTAAAAGGGGCCATTGTAAACAGCTTTGAATCTCAACTGAACTAGTCCTCTGTTCTATTTCCAAAATTGTCTTCATTTGATGCCTTTGGCTTTCAGCTCATCCTTCACTCTGCTCAGGTAGTCAGGGTCAGGGTAGCCGAAACTGTGGGAAAACACAAAGCACACAACTTTGAATTAAACAAATCCTCCAATTATTTCTGAGCTTGCTTCTGGTTCAAATCTCATGAGGAATCAATGTTGTTCCCCCAGGCAGGGTAGTAGTAGACACTTAACCTGAATGAAGTCAATGCAAAATATACAAAAAACATTTATACATGACATAAGAAAGTTAGTCACTAGAGGCATACAGAAGGTTAATCATATCTAGTCTTAGATGGTGTACTTCTGTGCCCCTCCATCGATGTTGGTTTTGTGGTGAATGTCGTTCCAGGTCACCGTGTTCTCTGCCCCAGTGGTTCTGGAGATCCCAACTGTGAAAATCAGCTTCTGCTTAAATGCTTTCTTCAGCAGCATCAGCACCTCATTCCCCTCCTTGTTGTTTGGTAGATAAGCAGTTCTTTTGGTCCCATAGAAGTTCTTTCCAGGGTTGGGATGTTTGTTCTGAAAACAGAAAATGTAAACAAAAACTAATGGCAATGGCAACAAATGGCTGTGTAAATATAAAACACTGCAGTGGAAATTGGGATATAATAAATGTTTTGTCAACTTTTATATTTACAGTATAATGAAGAACCTGAGTATTTTACCGTCTGTATTCCATCTAGAATATCATAGTTGATAACTATCGTGCCACTGTGAGGGAATCCAGGTATGTTGTTGATAGAAGTATAGTGTGTCATTTTTCCATCGGGCTGGTCTCCCTCCATCTTCCCGTATACATCCTTACACACAGGACAGCTGGGGCCCATGGTTTCCACTGACCGCCTCAGACACTCTTTACAAAACTCATGGGTGCAGGACAACTTCTCCTTGTTGGTAAATGTATCCATGCATATGGGGCATTTCTCCTCTTCAGCCCCTCCTGTCGCTCCTCCATCTCCAGCTGCTCCCCCCACGGCTGCTCCAGTGTTGTAGCCTTCAGGATACCCAATCCTCTGCTTGTCTTCCTCTTTAAACACAGGCCTACCTAGCTTCTCTTCTAGCTCTTTGACAGCAGGGCCTAAATGCTCCGGTAGGCCGATCAGCCTCCAGGGACCGTAGTTTTCTCCTGCCCCAACACAGAGGTGTCGAGAGCGGATCTTCTCCAGCATGTCCCCCACGGTCCCTGCGTGAGTAGTGTCTAGCAGGTAGCAGCTCATTGTTGACGTGGCAACCTTCTGGTAGAGGTGCATTAGAGCTCTGATGGCGTGGCTTTCCAGAGAGGCAGTGTGTTGGGACTTGATAGGCATGGTTGTCACTTTGACCTTCCCCTGAGATGGATTATTCATGAAAACTACTCCAAATTTACTTTGGATTGCTGTTATTTTCTCAGAAAATATTTTTTTCATCAGCTCCCAGTGGGCCGGGTCCATGGACAGCCCACCTGAAACCAGTGGGTCTTTGATGTCAATCACAATCTTCTGTGGAATTTCTGTAGATCTCCTTCTAGATCCTCCAGCAAATCCAAAGGCCTTATCTGCGGAGCTGTGATCCATTCCGAAGGTCTTTACTGTGGAGGTGTGGCCCACCTCAAAAGCCTTCCTGACTGCTACCACGCTCTGCTTCGGCCCAAGCACATTGCACCCGTTGGCGGACACATTCAGCACCAGCCTGGTCTCCTCATTCTGGATGTTCTTCAGCATAAACTGGAGGTATTCTGGATTCATGTGTGGCAGGTGTGCGGAGATGCTGTCAAAGTCACCTGCACACTTCAGGAAGAGGTCAGTGAACTCCTGGTAGGCTTCGGTCAGCAGAAAATCTCTGTCTGTTTTCTCTGGATGTTCTTTGAAAGACACCTTCACATCTGCATTGATTTTGACTCCATTTATTTTCTCTATGTCCTCCATCTCCTTCCGGTAGGCCTGGTTCAAGTACACGAAGTGGGTCAGTGGGACTGTACAGCTTATTTCCTTTTGCCCAGGGGCTTCATGGGTGTTCATTCCATTGTGAGTCATGCTTGGTGCCGCTTCTAAACCATTCCAATCACCTGCTGGCCCAGCTTCAGCTTCTTTGATGACCTTGGTCACCTCTCTGTGGAACTTCTCCACTTCCTCAAAGTTCCCAGTCAAGGTCAGTGAGTGATAAGTGAGGTACTGATTGAACTTGGTCTTAAGGGCAACCTGTGCTTCATGTGGGAAGCCACTGAGATCAATGCTAGCATGTACAGTCATTGGGAGTTTGACCTAGTGGGAAAATATCATATTAAAAAGATTTACATATCTTACATCTATACTTTTTATATTATAGTTGATTTGAAAATGCAATCAAATAGTCATTTATTTACAAAAGCAAAACCAATTACATCCTGTAGAGTGTGTGATGATGTTGGAGGAGAGACATCCATTAAGTTGGGTTTACAGTCTGATTGGTTCCAGGGTTGAAATGGTGGTGCAGTCCTGTGAAACTGCACAGTAGCGGTTGTCTTGGCCTGGTCTCTGAACGTCATCTGTGTTGCCCTCTGCTTCAGAAGTACTTTTAGATCTTCAAATAGGGTAGATTAATATATTAACATTAACATTAAGAATAAAATAAGGATTTAAGATAAAACAGAATAACTGTTCCCAAATTAAACATGCTGACCTATCTAATACCAGATTAGCTCCCAGATAAAAGCATGCATTTGGGAATTCACTCTGCAACACATTATTTGCAATAATGTACTGTTGAAGTGAATATTTTTCTTCTTAGCAGCACCACCATGGCTTGAGTGTATCCTCAACATTTAAAATGGGTACTAGGTATTTTTGTAATGAACTTTACATTTTTGACTCCATCTTTCTCACCTGATGAGGGAGATATATTGACCACTGCCCAGAACCCATTGCCATAAAGACCCTTCAAGGTGCAATCTGTATCTGTTGTCTTATCACCAAAGTCTTTATTGAACCATGACTGGAGAGTTTTCTCTAGTGTGGACTCCCATCTTGGTGGAAGGTCTTTCCCAGGCCACTCCACACTGACATAGACTGTAGCCTCATCTGGAGATGCTGACAGCTGCTTTCTCTCTTCAACCTTAGCTTGATTCAGATCCTGGAAAAATGTCTGGGCATAAATATGGTTGTTGGCGCAACAGTTTACTCACTCCTAAAGAGGACCTGTAGTTTAGTAATTGAGATTCATAGCAGATAATCTCATTTAGCTCCTTAGGTACAAATCAGAGCCCGATTTAGATTTTCAGGGCAATAACATGAACACTGTCCATGTCCAAATACCCATACTTGCGTTTTCTAAATAGTAGGCTGATTGAAATAGGACGATGTATAGTATGTGGAATTTAGAAAATCCTGTGATCTGTTGGATAGAATAATTACCACATCTTGAGTCCTTTGGGAGTTGATGGGAGAATGCTGATCTCTCTGTGATTGTCTGTCTCTATTAGAGCCAGTAGCTCCTTCAGCAGGAGGATCCACACTCACCTCATTTCCCTCAATCTCCTCCTTTGACCGATACTGATCTGTCAAATACGGGTCCTGAAAGAATAACTGAACATCAGTATGACGTTGATCTTACCCTAACTAACTTTAATTGTGATTAGTTTTGGCAACTTCATGAAACAGCATTGGATAGTCTATGCGAACTGATATGATAAAGATAAGATCACTGGCTTTCTCAGGCCTGAGTCAGAGACTAGTTGACATGATCATAATTACACTGTTTACTCCTTACCTTTTTCTTATCAGTCATAACAGTACTTTGGGTGTGACTGGTAGGATATGAATGTGGCTGTGTTACTCTCACTTGCTCCCCACTTGTTCCTGAAGAATAGGTCTGAGAGAGATAGGAGATAGTTAATATCTTCAATCATCCAAGAATAGCACATTTTATAATTGTGGTCTTAAATTATTCCACATGAATAAGAAAAACATAAAACCTACCCTATCACCCATCCCATGGGGGCTCGGAGACTCCCATTGTGGATAGTGCTGTGCTCCACTGGCTGCCAAGGCTGGGTCAGACTGCAAGAGAAGAGAGATGTGTATGGGTTGTATATTTTCACATACAGTGCAATTCTCATTCTTCAGGAAGAGAAACTGCACAAATGTGGTTCTCATAGAATCGAATTCAAACACAAGCAAACAACAAAACCAACATTTTCTACTGTTGTTTGGTTAGTCTAGTTCCACATATCCAGCTTTTAGGTTAAACATAAGTAACTTAAATATCCCCACTTATAACCGCTTTAAGATATGTTTTTTATTTTTAATAAATGTGCAAACATTTCTAAAAACCTGTTTTCGCTTGGTCATTATGGGATATTATGTGTAGATTGATGAGGAAAACATTTAATTTAATCCATTTTAGAATGAGGCTGTAACGTAACAAAATGTGGAAAAAGTCAAGGGGTCTAAATACTGTCCGAATGAACTGTAAGTATTTCCCTGGCTATCCCAGCTGCATCATTTGATACAGTACTTATGGTATAAATCTGCCCTTGGGAATGGCCATGTGGCAATTGCTGTGATTGGTGCTCTCTTGCAGATCCACTGGTCCCAGTATCAGGAGAATTTACTGTCTCTAATGTTGCAGGTGTCTTGAAAGAGATGCAAAGAGGTTAACAGATGATTAACTGTGAAGATAGTAAGAGTTAGTTCAGTTTGTCCTTTAAGATTAAAGGTGGAAGGTAGCCTAGCGGTTAAGAGCGTTGGGCCAGTAACCGATAGGTTGCTGGCTCGAATCCTTGAGCAGACTAGGTGAAAAATCTGCCGATTTGCCTTTGAGTAAGGCACTTAACCCTAATTTAAGTCACTCTGGATAAGAATGTCTACTAAAATTATAAGTTTAATTTAAATACTCTGTAACCTATTACTGCTGTTCAATGGCCAAATTAATATACCCATTATATCAAACAAGCTGCTGTTTGGCAAAATAATAATTTATGAATATTGTAGCAAATTCATATTCCAGGAACCTGGGTCCAGTGACTGTCAACCCAACACAGTTACTCTCCAAGAGATCCAAACCTCTTGACCAGAGCGTGTCCCCACGTTTCTCTTTACTAAGTCCCTTAAGTGTACACCCCTCTCCGATGGCCTCACAGGCGCCACCCCACTTCTGACACCAACGTAACGAATTTGGGGCTAGCCCCGACCGGGACTCTAACCCAGATCCAGCGACTGTCAACCCAACACACGAGGTTGCTGGGTGTTGCTTTTGGTCTCTGCAATATTAAAGGTACTCTTGTATTTGTCCTCAAACCAGCGTACTCACACCATTATCATCCACTTCCATCATGTCCTCCTCATGTCCTGCCATATTGATTAAGTCTTCTTGCTTCACCAAGTCAAACTCAGTGTGTCCTACACAGGAAATAGGCCTTATTCGTTGGATGAATATCATCAATACGAAAATCTCTCATTGCCGTTTTGGGCCAACTGCGCGACGCCACAGAAAATAGTTTCAATTTCGTTTCACAAATTGCAACCCAACCCAAGGTTGACAATACCCTATGTCGATTTAGTAGCCTAACAAACTTGAGGCTACTAAATCCGAATAAATAGGCCTAGTTAGAATATAACACGTGTCGCTTTAGATTAAAACATAAATACACATCGATAAACAAATTGTTCATTTGATTTCAATCGCACATTCAATGGATATGAAAAATACAACATTATGAACTTGTAATTTCGACGAATAATTAATATTTTAATATTACGGCTATACTATAATTGCCAGGTGGGCCCGAAGTTTTGCTAAAATATTGTCTAGGTTACATACCAGGCGTGTATAGCTGTCTGTCTCAGCTTTTAATGTCAAGTACGGACATGGAAGCGAAAACGAAAGTCACGGTGATTCAAGAATGCAACACTGTAGCTGGCTAGAGGCACTCCTTGTTAAAAGAGGGGGAGTATCGCAGCCTATGGCCGATTGTAGGTTTCTAGGATTATTTGTATCCGGATGGCTGGACCAAATTAACCACAATCCACAAACACGGTACATAAAAACAAGAACATACTGTATGTAGGTCTAGCCTTTTCTCACGATCCAACTTCCAAACAAAATTCACTGATAGTTTTTGAAAAAAGGTAAATATATTGAGTAAATCATACATGACTCTTTCAATTCATGTGTTGTAGGCGGACTAGCCCAAACAGGCTACAACACAGAAAATTATAAATGGATTTTTTCTTCGTTTTTTAAAAATCTTACATATTATGTAATCGAATAAACAGATAAAAGTTATTTATTGATTTTTTTTAGTATTTCATTCCAATGATTTGATGATTGACAGTCACTGTAGTGGGTCATATGTCAACTCCAAATTGGCCTAGGTCAGTGAGACAGCAGTTGTGTCAAGTTCTTGAGTAAAAATACTTTAAAGTACTACTTAAATCGATTTTTGGCGTATCTGTACTTTACTTATCCATTTATATTTTTGAAATCTTTTACTTTTACTTCACTACATTCCTAAAGAAAAGTATGTACTTTTTACTCCATACATTTTCCCTGACACCCAAAAGTACTCACACATTTTGAATGCATAGCAGGACAGGAAAATGGTCCATTCACACACTTATCAAGAGAACATCCCTGGTCATCCCTACTGCCTCTGATTTAGTGGACTCACTAAACACACATGCTTCATTTGTAAATTATGTCTGAGTGTTGGAGTGTGCCCCTGGCTATCCGTAAATAAAAAATAAAAAAACAAGACACTTGTGCTGTCTGGTATGCTTCATATAAGGAATTTGAAATGATTTATACTTTTACTTTTCATACTTAAGTATATTTTAGCAATTACATTTACTTTTGATACTTAAGTTTAGACTTTTACTCAAGTATTTTTCTGGGTGACTTTCCCTTTTACTTGAGTCATTTTCTATTAAGGTATCTTTACTTTTACTCAAGTATGACAATTGGGTACTTTTTCCACCACTGTGAGACAGCCACTTCCACAACTTTTACAAAGTTAAGCACTTTAACCTGTAGTCTATATTATAGGCCCTTTTCACGTGACGTCAGACAACTTCCGTTCTGCTGCGATGCAGGTTATGTTTACATCCGGTGTCGCTTAGGAACGCTTAGCTAGTAGCACATCATTATGGAGTTCACCCAGTCCCTTTCACATCTGCCACCAATACGACTTAACGACGTAGAACGACTTGCTGACAAGTGGTCCCTTACTTCAAGATCGAAGCTTGATAAAGGCTACAAGTTCTTCGTTGAAGGTTACCTGTTTGATTATGAAGGTACGTGTTTATCTTTATTTAGCTTAAATTAGCCCTATGCTAGCGAAGGTTATGAGCTGACGAGTTTCTGTTTTGCAGCCGCTTTTTAATATTACTGCTGTTTGTATCGACCGTAAGATAAGAGTCAGTAATGTATTAATGGCTAATGCTGCGCCTTTTCTCCCAATCACTGTATTGAAACAGTCTCAAGTGTAGTTAACGGTGAGGTGACAGTGAGAGGGCGATGTTACAGGTCCATGAAGAAAAATGAGGAGGCTCATCGGCTTCAGGTTTCTCAGATAAACAGTTCTCTAACATTATGATAAGATAGGTTAAGATAGATAAGTTTTCTTTTTGTTGTGTTTTGCTGCGGTTGCAGATTTAATAAGAATGATTCCACAAAGTTCCACTGTGGATCAGATTGTGCCATGCTTCGGTGTTGGATGGGATACTGTTGCGATACAGACACCGGGAGAAAAGAAACAGCTAAATTAACATTCAGCTTTGACCAGGAATCAATATTTATCTAGCTATCATGCACAACAGTATTTGAATAGGTGAGTTACTATACATTCATGAATAAACTAACTGCCTAACAAAGGGTTAGATAGCTAGCTAAGTAAACTTGTTACATTACAGCCAGGCAGCAATGTAACGCTACCTTTTAACGTTATCGGTATCTGGTACTAAGTTGTTGTTAGCTAACGTTAGCCCACTTTTAAGTAACTAAGGCAGTGAACAATTATGAATTAACAATAACGTTAGCAAGTTACAAACCATTGCATATACGTAAACATTATTACTCTTAACTTTACTAATTTAACTTAAACGTACCTTTTTGGAATTTCTTCAAGTAGCTAGCTTGCTAGTTAGTGGTCAACAGTTGTATTTTCGTTGAGAAGTCTCAGGTTACGGGCGAACGGAAGTGAAGTTAACCTGCTACGCGGAAAGGCGGAAGTTAGATGACGTCATCGTGAAAAGGGCCTATTGTGGATAGGCTCAATAACATACAACTAACTGATCAAGGGCGGGATCAGCCAGGGGCGGCTTCCCGCATGCGCGATTCATTTGCAGTCTGGACGCGGAGGGGTGAACATCTCCTGCTCTGACTGCAGCTGGGAGGGACTGCTGCGCGAGGACTGGGCCGCCTGTGAGTGCTTTGGGACGGGGGTGGAGCCTACGGCCCACGGCAGCACCCGCTGCTCGTTGAGAAGAGTAAGAACGATACGTGCTTTCACGTCAGTCTCCAAAAGTCTCCAATAACACCAGAAAAAGTCGCTAGATTTGTAGCTAGTCGATTTTTTTAAAATGTGTCGCTAGAGGGGTCTGAATACTCGCTAAATATAGCGACAAAGTCGCTAAATTGGCAACACTGATTACTGACGTGGTGACGTCATATATCAGTAAGTCCCATCAATACACGACATCCCCTTGACTTGGATATTAACTTCAATGTCAACCTGACATATACAACACTCATTCTTTACCTGTATAGCAACCTTTGTGTTACCAATAAACAAATGAAATCTGTTCAATGTCTTATTATTTCTGTTCTCCTAATGGACTTTCCTTTTTAAGCTTACTTCTAAGCAAAACAAAAGTTTTTTTTCCTTTTTTTTTCTTACTGTAACAAAACATTCTGCACCTTTGTCATTAAATAAGTATCCTGTACTGCAAGGGGTAAAGAAAACTAGTATAAACTGAAAAATGATTGAACAACCACATTGTTTCCCTCTATATTGATCACAGTGTGTGGATCTTGTTAAAGGTTGTTGTGAACTTGTCTGTTTTGTCCTGTTTTAGGAGAACCTGGTCTCCGATATCCACGTCAGAGTGTTTGGCTCTGCGACGGTTGTCTGCATATATCTTGGATTTCCCTTTCTGCTCAGCATCATAGTCCTGTGTCTCCAGGTCACTCTGTAGTGTAGCTATATCCAGAAGCTTCCCCCTCATTTTCCTTTTGAAAAGGAGCTCAGCTGGTTTCTTGCCCGTGGTAGAGTGGTCAATGGACCTGTAGACTGTCACATACTTGCGTAGCTCCCGCTTCTAGTGCAGG